GAAGGAAGGAAGGAAGGAGGAAGGAAGGAAGGAAGGAAGGAAGGAAGGGACAATGGGAGAGGGTGGGAAAGAGGAAGAGACTAAGGTGAAGGAAAGGAAGGAAAGAAGGAAGGAAGGGACAATGGGAGAGAGGGAGGGAAGGAGGAAGAGACTAAGGGAGGGGAAGGAAAGGAAGGAAGGAAGGAAGGAAGGAAGGAAGGAAGGAAGGAAGGAAGGAAGGAAGGAAGGGACAACGAGAGAGGGTGGGAAGGAGGAAGAGACTAAGAAGGAGGTGAAGGAAAGGAAGGAAGGAAAGAAGGAAAGAAGGAAGGGACAATGGGAGAGAGGGAGAGAAGGAGGAAGAGACTAAGGGAGGGGAAGGAAAGGAAGGAAGGAAGGAAGGGACAATGGGAGAGGGTGGGAAAGAGGAAGAGACTAAGCTGAAGGAAAGGAAGGAAAGAAGGAAGGGACAATGGGAGAGAGGGAGGGAAGGAGGAAGAGACTAAGGGAGGGGAAAGAAAGGAAGGAAGGAAGGAAGGAAGGGACAACGAGAGAGGGTGGGAAGGAGGAAGAGACTAAGAAGGAGGTGAAGGAAAGGAAGGAAGGAAAGAAGGAAAGAAGGAAGGGACAATGGGAGAGAGGGAGAGAAGGAGGAAGAGACTAAGGGAGGGGAAGGAAAGGAAGGAAGGAAGGAAGGAAGGGACAATGGGAGAGGGTGGGAAAGAGGAAGAGACTAAGGGGAAGGAAAGAAGGAAGGGACAATGGGAGAGAGGGAGGGAAGGAGGAAGAGACTAAGGGAGGGGAAGGAAAGGAAGGAAGGAAGGAAGGAACGAAGGAAGGAAGGAAGGAAGGAAGGAAGGAAAGGAACAATGGGAGAGGGTGGGAAGGAGAAGAGACTAAGGGAAGGAAAGGAAGGAAAAGAAGGAAGGAACAATGGGAGGGAGGGAGGGAAGGAGGAAGAGACTAAGAAGGAGGTGAAGGAAAGGAAGGAAGGAAAGAAGGAAAGAAGGAAGGGACAATGGGAGAGAGGGAGAGAAGGAGGAAGAGACTAAGGGAGGGGAAGGAAAGGAAGGAAGGAAGGAAGGGACAATGGGAGAGGGTGGGAAGGAGGAAGAGACTAAGGTGAAGGAAAGGAAGGAAAGAAGGAAGGAACAATGGGAGAGAGGGAGGGAAGGAGGAAGAGACTAAGGGAGGTGAAGGAAAGGAAGAAAAGAAGGAAGGAAGGGACAAGGGGAGGGAAGAAGGCAGGCACCCACCCCAGTCCCATCCCAGAGACCCACAGATTCCCCCCCACAGGCACTCTGCAACCTGAGTGATCAGCTGGCCATGCCCCCGGCCATTGATCACATGACCCTGGGACACTGTGAATGTCATAAGTATGAATCAGTTGTCAAGCATCCAAATGTAAATCACATGACCCTGGGGATGCTGCAACAATCATAAGTGTGAAAAATGATCATTAATTCGCTTTTCCAATGCTGTTGTAACTTCTAACAGTCACTAAGCAAATTGTTATAAATTGAGGGCTACCTATACTTTCCCATTTTTTCCTTTTTTTGGGTCAAGTTTTTGATAACCCTCCGGGCCAGGTGGATGGGGGGTTGGGGGTCACCACAACATGAGGAACTGTATTAAAGGGTCGCGGCATTAGGAAGGCTGAGAACCACTTCTCTAAGGGGTCTACCGACAGGGGAAACTCGATCGGCAAAGGGACGACGCCCTTCGCTTGACCGCACTGCCATGAAACCGGAACCGGAAGCCAGATAAGTTATTTATCACATTCATATGGCTGCCCATCTCATAAGAAGTGACTTATATATGTAATTCACATTAACCATGACAAAGCTGATGGCATCAAATACCCTTCTTTCCTAACTCCTTGGTCATACCACATTTAAAAATAAAGTTCATTTTATCTATTACTTTTATTTATCTATTACTGATAAATGTCCAATCAAGTTCCAGTGGGTTTGTGCCCTTCAGACAATACCTAGCCACTCAGTCAATTTACTGTTATTAGACAAGCATCAGTTGTCAGAAGATATATTACAGATAGATCTTGGCAATACATTCTCCTTTCTCCTCCTTCTCCTGTTTCTAAAGAGAGTCTTTGGTATAACTTTGACTCCTAATTTTGCTTGTGGGAGGAATGTTATACTGCCCATGTCTGTGCAGTATACTGCTCAGCCTGTGTTAATTTATCATTCAAATGGAAAGAAATACGGTGTGTTTGAGAATTTGGAAATGGAGATAAATAGGGGGCAGCTCTACATTATGTAGAGCTAGTCATATATAAATATATTTTATTAGCTCTACATAAGAATTTAGGGACCTTTTAGTGGGATAAAAATATTCAGGCCTGCTTACCTATAACAACTTAAGGTCTTCCTTGAGTTGAGCTGCTGATTAAGCAGTGTTCCTCAATCTTGGCAATTTTAAGATGTGTAGACTTCAACTCCCAGAATTCCTCAGCCAACATATTGGCTGGGGAATTCTGGGATTTGAAGTCTACACATCTTAAAGTTGTCAATGTCAAGAAACAGTGGATTATATGGTCATTTTTGTACTTTTTTCTTCTTCTCAGAAGCTTCAGAATACTGCAATGACTTCCCAGTCTACCTACATCTATGCTATTTCCTCTTGGTCCCACCAGACTTATCAGCCAAGACAGGATAAGGGCTGCCACCTATTGGGATTGTTTACCTATTGCTGTATCAAAATAGATACAAGTGACATGAATTCCCCCCCCCCCAAATCTTCAACCATCATCTTTAAAAGTATCTTTTTAAATTGTCAAATGCTAACTATTTTGAAAATATTATGGATAGAGAAATTTGGACACAGATAATGCAGGATTCTGGATTTAATGTTTTTTGGGTAGAAGTGGTGTTAACAGCAAGATACCTTCTGAGGGTCATACACAAGCCTTCTCTCTCTCCTCTCCACCACACACTCACTCAACAAGGAGTTTCTTTTTTAGAGAGAAGGACAGAGCCAGAGCTAATTTATAAAAAGGGACAAGTGAATGTTGGAATTCTCTGGAGGGTATTGACTTTCAATGCTTAAAGCTAGGATTCTCCCCCCCCCCATAAGTTGCATCTCTGGAACTGGCTGCAAAATCCCGTCTGCACTGCACTACACTACTGTTCTCATCTTCCCCACCCCGAGCCTCAATAATTTTGCAACAAACTGATTTTGTGTTGAGATTGCACGGGGAAAGCTTTGCGTTCTTTCCGCAGGCTTTACGTGGTACCTGATGCCTAACTTTTAAGAAGACTTTACATCCTCGCCACCACCTTACAAATCAGCTGTTTTAATATAGATGCTCCTACCTTGCGGGGGAGGGGCGCCTTGAAAGCCGGGCCTACCAGATGCAGCGGAAACTTACTTTCGACTAAACATTTGTAGACGTACCGGGCTCCAACCAAGCTTGGCCTCTGACTGCAAATCGAATCCACAGAGGATGCGACAGGATTTTAACGAGGGTCATTCTCTTACTGCCTATGCGTGTTGACTGCCGAACTAACTTCCTTGTCCTTAATGGGCTTTTCGAATAATAAACAAGGCATCAGGCAGTAAAGGGAGAGGTTAATGCGTGGGAATTACCCCTTTCAAAGCCAAGAACTGCAAGGAAAGCGCGCGTCCGAGCGGGGAAATCTCCCATAAGATTTCAGACTATGGGAACAACGGACAATACAGCGCCAGCAGCCATCCTAAGAAATGCCAAACGACTTTCTCTTTTACGCTACACATTAACTCCGTCCCACGCTTGGCTGAAATGACAAGCCAGTCCCTTCTGCCACAATTAATATGCTTGCCCGGAGGACAGAATAGGAGCAGCAGCGCGCTTTCCCTTTTCCTGACTTTTTAAGGTCAGCGGCGCTATTAGTTCTTTCAGATTCCTCGGCTCTTTGGGAAACAGCAGGAAGTGTGCTGGTTGGGTTTCTTAAGGAGGAAAAAAAAACATGGGAGGTTCAAAGGAAAGCTACCAAGGATCTCGTAATAAAAAAAAAAAGGAAGAAGCAAGGGAGAAAGGAAGGAAGGAAGGGGAAAAAAGGAACACTGGAAAAAATATTTTAAAGAGGAAGGGGTCCGCGATCAATGCAACTCGAGTTGCAGGATGAAACACCCAGCTGTGAAGTGCCCTTAACAAGCGCGTTTATGTAGAGAAAACATGGAGAGCCTTTTGTTCTTCCTTTAATTGGACCATTTGTTGTATAATCGCTGGGCTGCTCTGCTTGAGCTTCAACAGAAGGAAACTCGAGCCTCAGACGCGCGACTCTAGTGGCTGTGCCTTCCCCGCTCCCTCCCCCCCCCCCGCGCGCCTTTCTTCCTTCCTCCCGCTGAGCTGCTGTTGCTGCTTGTTTGCACTCGGCTTATCCGGAGCGGAAATTCCTTTCCGTTTTTGTGAATGACAAACTCATTAACAATTCATCAACACAACCTGTTCCAGCCGGCCCGTTTCCACGGCAACCGCCCCTTCCGCAAGCGCTGATTGGCCGAGGGAGAGAATGTATCCATTGAGACGTTCCATGTTTGTATCCATTGAGGAACTGCCTGGTGCTGAAAGAGGGGCGATAGTGTGCAGGGTTGATTAAGAGGGACATTGGTCACAAGAGGACTTTGAAAGAAAGAAACAAAGAAAGAAAAATAGGAGGCAAAGAAAGACAGGGCGAAAGAGAGAAAGAGAGAAATAGGAGCCGAGGCCACGAAAAGCTGCACACGGGAGCGATAGACCGAGCAGTAACAACACCTGGGGCCAGCAGCCCCGGTTCTAGCAAAATCGCTCGACCTACCTTTAAGGCATTTGCTTGTGCTGTGCAAAAAAGCGCTTCAGCACATTTAATTGCAGCCTATACTTTCCCGGAGGTAGGTGCTAATGTACCTAGACTAAGGGAGTCCCCGGCAACGCTCAAGAGAAAGCAGCTCTCCCAAGACGAGAGTAGCACTCCGGCTTGCAAAGCACAGCGGAGAGACGGCTTGGCTGGCTCCCTCTCCCGGACGCTAAGCCGGAAAAGGCGAGCAACGGGCTGAGTTCGGACCGACGGCTTCGCGCGGTGCGCGCGCCCCGGCTCCATCCCGCCGGTCGCCGTGGCTCTTCGAAGAGGGGCGCTTTGCGGAGCGGCCCCTCCAGCCTGGCCTGCCCGCCTCCTTCCTCATGCTAGATACGCTTCGCTCGCCGGTAGCCTCTCTCGCGTCGGACATGGCGATCTGCAAGACGGTGGCGTGGCTAAAGGAGCAGCTGGAGCTGGGCAACGAGCGGCTGCTGCTGATGGACTGTCGCCCGCAGGAGCTGTACGAGTCCTCGCACATCGAGTCGGCCATCAACGTGGCCCTGCCGGGGATTATGCTGCGCCGGCTGCAGAAGGGCAACCTGCCGCTGCGCGCCCTCTTCGCCCGGGGCGAGGAGGAGCGCGAAAAGTTCGCCCGCCGCTGCGGAACCGACACCGTGGTCCTCTACGACGAGAATAGCAGCGACTGGAACGAGAACACGGTGGGCGACTCTGTGCTGGGGATGCTCCTCAAGCGTCTGAAAGACGATGGCTGTAAGGCCTTCTACCTGGAAGGTGAGGGGGTTAAAGCAGGCCGGCTCTGCTGTCCCGGGTTCTCCCGCGCTTTTTTGCCTTCTGCACCCAGATCCGCGGCGTCTCCCTCCCCCCCCTTCCGTTTTGCCCTTACTCCTTTAGCACCAGCCTCCGGCATCTGCCCGCCCGGCGCCCTTGCCCTGCATGGCCCGAAGCGCAGAGCTGCCAGATGGCCCTGGAGTTGTTAAGAGATTAAAACGTAGGCTCGAGTCTGCAATCCCCCCTTCCCCCCGCCTATGTTTTCAATCCTTTGAACTACTTCTTGGGAAGGCTTCGGAACAAGATTCCGCCTCTGTAGTCCATGGAGGAACGGAACGTGTCCCTTGTCGGGAAGGAACTCTACTCCTTGTTAAGGATTCCCCTCTTAGGGAAAATCCCGATTCCAGAAAAGCGACGTAGCAAGTGTCTGCCTCTGGCGTCAAACGCCTAGTGCCTGCCCCTTCCAAAGAGAAAGAGCCTGCTCTGGGCGGAGGGGGGAGGAGGGAATGCTCAAGCAGTGTTTCCACCTGTCTTCCCCAGGAATAGTCCAGGCTCTGGGAAGTTAAGGTTGTCAAATCAAGCTTAGCTCTTAAGCGGAATTATATGCATTGCTTTCTAAAATCCCTCTTCCCTAAGTCATTATTCCCCTTCTACATCAAAAGTATTCTTTCAAAGGACCTTCCTGCTATTTCAATAAAGGATGCTGGTTATATGCTCTATGCCGTAAGGGAATCTTTTGAAATCTTTTCAAGCAAAGGAACAGCCAATTATTCTACTGCATCTTGTTTGAAAAGCCAGAGAGTAACTCTGGCATCCCTAACCTGATGCCATCCGAGGAGATACTTAACAGATCATGTAATCCAGTTTCCAGATCAGTGATGAACTACAGTTCTTGATCCCTCTTTATGTTACTGCCAGTTGGGGTGGACTAAACTTTGCTGTTTGAAGGTTATCAAGATGTGGGGAGCTGAAGCAATAGGGAAGGTATGTAGGGTTTGAATTTTTTAGCACCTTGCACTGCCTGCTTAACACTGGAGGCATGTGAGATAAAAACATCTGAATGATAATCCTGCTTGCAATAGTGGTGATATTCCTGTAGCAAAAACAGATTTAAGCAATTGGGAATTTACTGTGTATGTATTCTTTAAAGGTTTGAATTAATAGTTGATGCACTGCTGCTGTTGGATCAGCTGCTTTGGGTGATGGCCTAGAATCCAGTTACATAGATTTCATTTTACTAAGGAACACTATAGCTATGTTTATATGTAGTTCTATTCTGCTAAACTCTACAGAAGAGAAATATTTCAAATCCTTCACTAATATCTCCTGGGGTTTGTTTGTTTTTTTTGACAGCTGCACCAGTCCCTTTTCAGTTTTCTAGTATTTTTAAACCATAAAGTGTCCTGGGACGCCTGGCTCTAGCAATGATAGGAGCTCTAAAGGGAACTCTCTTAATTCCAACCCTTTCTTTTTGCTTTCTTCCCAGGGGGTTTCTGCAAATTCCACGCAGAGTATGCCTTGCACTGCGAAACTAATCTAGACTGTTCATGCAGCAGCAATTCTCCGCCTTTGCCAGTGTTGGGGTTGGGTGGTCTCCGAATCAGCTCTGACTCATCGTCAGACGTGGAATCCGATATTGACAGAGATCCTAACAGTGCCACCGACTCTGATGGCAGCCCTTTGTCTAACAATCAGCCTTCCTTCCCTGTGGAAATCTTGCCATATCTCTACTTGGGCTGCGCCAAGGACTCTACTAACCTGGATGTTCTCGAAGAGTTTGGCATTAAATACATATTGAATGTCACCCCCAACCTGCCCAATCTCTTTGAAAATGCTGGCGAGTTTAAGTACAAACAGATCCCTATCTCTGATCATTGGAGCCAAAACCTTTCCCAGTTCTTTCCTGAAGCAATCTCTTTCATAGGTAAGGTTGAAAAATAGTTCCTGTCTTTTGTAGCTTTTTTTTTAATGTTACTAGCAGCAAGCTTTCCAAAGACAACTTTATATGCATTTTTTCACATTTTCTTCAGATTACAGTAGATGTCACTTGTTTTATCCATTTCTGCTGGCATAATTTCAATTTACAGTGTACAGTTGATGCTTTAGTTATTTATCTTATTCTGAAATATTATAACTTTGGTAATTTAATCCAGGAAAATGGATAAGGAAAAGTGATATCCTAGGGTGGGGGAGTCTTTATTTTTGCTGTTACAATTTTAGGTTTTAATAAATGCTTTTTATGAAGAATGACTTCCATGTTTTATATTTAGTTTACCATATTCTGGGCTTTTGTTTTTAAACAAGCGACTCTTTGAGGCAAAATTATACCAGAAAACAGAAATAGTCCATCCAGTTATACTTTTCAATCTTAATTTAGCTGGATTGCTTAATTATTAGACTAAATACTTTTGACTGTGACTGCAATCTTATGTATATTATCTTAGAAATGTATGCCATCAAATGTTAAAGTTTTAAAACTTCTATATACTTCTGATTGAAGTGAATCTCATGAAATTCAAATTTTACCTAAGAGTCAGCATGGATAGGCTATGTTGCATTCTTGTGGCATGTTTTTAAATCATTACATTACTTTCAGTTTAAATAATCACTATAATTTGATCTGCCCCCATCATAGATGTAATGTCTATAGGATATTGGCTAAACAATCCTAGTTTAGCAAATTTCTTAAAATATGTTAAAACATGTCTTTTCTTGAGAATACTAGCTCTTAAACATATCATATATACTCACAAATAGCATTAGACATGAACACTTGTTTTTTATCTACCCTTTGCAAAATGATCCAATTATTCTGGACTTTTTCCATTTTGTCAGGCCCTTGTCTGTCAATGAATACTGTACTGTAATCTGTGAGCTGTAGTAGTAATAAGCAGAATATAGGTAATCTGAGCTCAGTAAGAAGAATTTGTGGGGTGGGAGCTGCAAATCTCCAGGCATTATAATGTATTTCTTATGACAAAAGAATCCATTTTCTAGCCATGTTGACATCCTGTGTCTCTTAATGGGCTGTCCCCTGTGACTTCGGGTCTCTCCCCCCCCTTTTTTTAAACAGCTGAATACTTTCGTTGTTCGTTGTTCAGCTGCAGTGCACTATCCTTGGGAAATCATTTAATATCTTCCTGCCTTATAAAATGTCAAAATTAAAGTATTTCTCCTCCACTTAGTAATAAACCCAAACTAAATACATAGGAGTTTAGAGGAGGATTCTTTGCTTCCTTTTGAAAAATTTCTTTATTTTGTTGGCCAAATCCTATATCTGACCAAGTTTCCACAACAAATGATTTCTATAAAATACTTCTGCCTCCTTTTCAATATTATCTAGAACAGTGGTTCTCAACCTGTGGGTCGGGACCCCATTTGGGGTCGAACGACCATTTCACGGGGGTCGCCAAACAAGGCTGTCCGCCATTTTTCCCCCTTTTCTTTGGCCACGCCCCTGGCACCCGGTGATGTATAAGTGATTCGGGGTCACCACAACATGGGGAACTATATTATGGGGTCGCGGCATTAGAAAGGTTGAGAACCACTGATCTAGAATGTGATTTTTACAAATAATTCTTGCTGGCAGTCAGTATATATAACCAACCAAATTACAAGGACCTTCCTTCAGCATTCTATTTCAGGTTGACAATTATTGGGATTATTCCAAAAAGTTAAGATATTCTTTAAATTAAACCTTGGTTTTAAAAGTTGGGTAGATCAGGCATTTAGCCAAAAATAGTTCATAACTATTTTTCTATATGCAGAACAGTGCAAAATGCCCTTTCATTACAAGAAAGCAGTTCAGTCTATGCACAGAGCAATGTGCATTTTAGTTGTGCACATGTAGGTTGAAGTGATACAGCCCAGTAAAGATTGTACCATGTAATTTCACCACTTGTCTTTAAGACCAGAGAATATTTATGCTTTATTGAATAGAGAATACCTATGCATGGTTTGAAAGATCTTAGTTTGAGATCTGTTATTTCCTTGATCTATTTGGTTTTAGGGAAAGGAAAACCCAAGTATTAAAATATTGTGCAAACCTGGGCGATGAGAAAGGTGCAGGTTTTTATTAAGTTACAACAGCAATTCACCAATGTCTCATCTCACATCAGGTATTCATGTTATCTGAAACAGGAAACAAATGTATGACTTAATAATCTCTTGTCTCTGCTTTTTTTCCCTCAACAGATGAAGCTCGTGGGAAAAATTGTGGGGTGCTTGTGCACTGCCTAGCAGGGATCAGTCGCTCTGTCACTGTGACAGTTGCATATCTTATGCAAAAACTCAATTTATCCATGAATGATGCTTATGACATTGTCAAGATGAAGAAATCTAATATCTCCCCTAACTTCAATTTTATGGGACAGTTGCTAGACTTTGAGAGGACTCTGGGTCTGAATAGCCCCTGTGATAATCGTATGTCCAGCCAGCAACTATATTTTACAACTCCTTCCAATCAAAATGTCTTCCAGGTGGACTCTTTGCAATCTACGTGAGGGCCAACTGATCATCAGTTCTTCCAACATTGGGTATTGTGAGCATTCCACAATGCTTCTCTCTGGACAGCTAAAGAGAACTGCAATTCTTTTGTGGGCCCTGGGTTTGGGCACTAGCTGTCTCTGATTAAACACAATAAAGGTTACAACAGTTGGAATCTGCTGTTGCAAAATGAGGGATTTTGCTGAGTCTTCCCAGCAGAAAAGAAGACAGATACCACTTCAAGCAGGGCAGTACATTGTGCTTCATGCACAAAAGCCATTTAAACAGTGACTTAAAATTTATGGTTTCCAAACAAAGATCAGCAAGAATGAACACTATAAGTACACATCCATGTGTTTGACACTGGGAGAAATGTATTACATGCATTTATAATATACGTTGTCTTCAGTGAAGACTTGATTTTTTTTATTATTAATATTGATATAGGGGAGCCAAAGAGCAATTTCAGTTTAATGTATTTTGGAATATCTGTTTGCAAAGACCTTTGATATACTCAGCTTGATCAATGTAAATGTTTTCAATCTCAGATGAATGACATGAAAGTTGCAATAGGTCTGAGTGAAATGTATTACTTCTCTGCATTCTCCAGTGATAAGTTCTTTTGGAGCACAAATCTGCAGCATGCTTAATTTTATTGCAGAATTAGGCAAACTTTCTTGGTTAACATTTTTGGGTTTGTTTATTCAATTTTGGAATGAATAATTTGTTCTATAGTAACATATTTTTTATTTTGGAGTGTGTGTGTGTGTGTGTGTGATCAAACTGGTCTCATGATTTTTGGGGTAGGACCTTACCTTTATAAATAATCCCTGTTGCATACTTTAAAAATAGAAAAATCATTTCTGCAAAGTGAAGTGTGTATATGTATATATGTATATATATAAATGCACTGTTTAGCATTTATCATATATATATATAGGTCTTTGGTTATTTGGGTTTTCTCCCGCATCAAATTGGAAGTGTCTTGGCGACGTTTCGATGAAGTCCCATTCGTCATCTTCAGGCTGGTGTTTTTTCAGCTTCTTGCTTTTAGGAGCAATGTGTGATCGTAGCTGTTTCTTCCTTTTAACTGCTAGTGGGGGTATGAACTGATTGGATGGGAGCTCAACAAACACAACATCAAGACAGCATTCTGCACAAACAGAAAAATATCCACCATCCTAAGAAACCCCAAAGACAAAATTGAGTTAGAAAATCAAGGAGTATATGAAATCCCATGCACCACTTGTCTCACCACATACATCGGACAAACCAACAGAAGAATAAGTGCGTGCATTGAAGAACATAAGAACTCAGTCAAAAAAGAGGAACCAACTTCTTCCCTGGTCCAACACCTTAAAGCCACAGGACATGAAATTGACTTTAAAAAGACCAGAACTATCGCCAAAACTGAACACTTTAATAACAGAATAATCAGAGAAGCCATCGAGTTAGAAAAACACCCACACAGCTTGAATAAACAAGATGATACCTCCCGCCTACCAGCCATTTGGAAACCCGCCCCTCCAATCCATACATGAAGCAAACTGACACCCACCATGAAGATGAGGCACGACCACTAATGCAGCAGTGCAGCTCACCATCTCTAATCCCCCTGCAACTCAGACTAACCCGAGCACAACAAAGCCCCCACCCAAACAGAACACTCCCCCATCCAATCAGAGCACAGCCAAGCCCCTAACCAATCAGAACACACCTCCACCAATCAGAACACAGCCAAGCTCCCATCCAATCAGTTCATACCCCCACTAGCGGTTAAAAGGAAGAAACAGCTACGATCACACATTGCTCCTAGAAGCAAGAAGCCAAAAACACCAGCCTGAAGATGACGAATGGGACTTCATCGAAACGTTGCCAAGACACTTCCAATTTGACGTGGGAGAAAACCCAAATAACCAAAGACCTACATACAAACACCTGCGAAAACCATATATATATATATATATATATATATATATGATAAATGCTAAACAGTGCATTTACCTGTGTACAAACACTTCAGGGAGCTTCACCTCAAATGCAATATCTCGCATTTATTTTTGTAGAAAACTGGAAGTGTGTGTGAATATTGTGTACCTGTGTAAATGCAAGAAGATCCTGCACATGATTGTCAGTAAGAGAAAATCTCAAATTTGCTAGTATGAAGTTGAGATGTTATTCTCAGTATGTAAGAATTTAAATTATTAATAAATGACTATTTTGGTTATTGAGAAACGACGTTTTATGTATTATGTAAGAATGTTCATAAGTGACCCCAAAAGCCAGGACCATCTTGCAATCTTCAAAAAGAGGAATGAAAGTTTGCATGTATTTCAGTCCTAAAAGTATTTTCAGCCTCAATCAGAGAATAAGCTCTGGACACAGTTACATTTTTGTACCCTTCATCTGTTGCAGATGCTGGACAGAATGTAGTGTGTCAATCTTTATTGCATTATTTTCATTGGAATATGTGTTCAGAGCACATTCAGGTAAGAATCTACATCCTTATATTTGGGCAAGAGTACATATTTTGAAAGATAATTCTTTTGAAAATAATCGGTGTTTCTTGCACCCAAGATTGCTGTTTAGTGTATTACCTTCCCTGAAGTATGCCTTGTTAAGGTCAATTCTCACAATACGATTAGAAGAAAAGGATCTGGGTATTTTAGTGACTCAGAAACTGAACGTTAAAATAAATGCATTTAAATTAAATGCAGACTTAGGCTCAGTTAACCGAAGTCTTGGGTTAAATGAAGTCATCAGTCTTTCTATCCAAAATCTACTTCCTCTTAATTACAACTTATTTCTGCCTTTGCACACAACAAGCTTTCAGCAACACTGAATATTTTATTCATTTTTAAGAAGGTGGCAAACTAGAGTGTAGCGTATGTCCAGATGAGAGCAATGAAGATGATGGAGGGCTTGGAGAGAATCATTAAAGGTGATTGGACATCATTAGTTTGGAAAAGATAAGACTATGGGAATACATGACTGTTATCAAGTATCTGAAAGATTGTAGTGTGTAAAGGCAAGAAATAAGTTGCAATTAACAAGGAAGCAGATTTTGGTTGAATAAAAAAATCCTAATGGGAAGAGTTGTTCAATAGAGATGGAGATAGTCTTGGAAAATCCTTCACTGGAAATGAAGGCCATTGAATGGCCATCTGTCAGAGATGCTCCTATAGTGGATTCATATACTAAGCAATATAATAATTTACAAACTGTACATATTTCCCTAATTTTATGGCATATTTTATTTGGGAAAAGAGTTGTTTCTTTTTCTTCCATTTATTTAGAGGAGATTTTATTCCTGTTTATCACATCTTATTTATCAGATGTCTGCAGCATCAGCGTATTACTGAATTCTTCTGCTTTCAAACAAACTGAATGCAAAGTTGATATGCATCCTCAAACATCTTTATTATTTTTTTTCTAAAAACTAGGATTCCAAACTTTATTTTAGCTAATATTTTAATTTAATCTAATCCTGCCAATTCAATATCTTTTCCTATCATAGTACAAATTCTCTTTCAAATAAACCTTTCCCAGCATGCTAATATTCTTTGTTAGCCCAAAATCCTAAGCTGCAGATGAGGAAGTGACTCTTTCAAATATCACATCTGGCACAAACTGAGTAGGGAATATCTTACACCAGCCCCAATATTTTATCTGATATGATCTGTCTGCTAAGTGCCTGTAATGTTTTTAGCAGCAATACAGATGAGGCACTTTGGGATATTTCAGACTGCTGAAATCTCAATGAATAATTGACATTTTAATGGCAGCTTTGGTTTCATTTGTTGATGACTGTAGTAGAACCCAAATGAAAGTGGTGGTTTATCCTTGTGCTCCTTGATCCCTTGGTTTTCAATTTCAATTCAATTGGTTGACCATGACATCCAAAGCCAGATCTGTGGATTGGGGTTTGGGGCACCATTTTACAGTGGTTCTTATCCTTTCTTTGGGGTCAGCTTCTTCGGTGTTGGTAGGTGGGAAAAGATTGTTCTCCAGGCCTTGTGGGTTGCTGAAAGATTCTGTTCTCTTTCCTCACCATTCCAAAATCTATATGAAACTTCTGGGTGAGGCCATCCACTATTGAGCGTTCAGTATCATCTGTATGCTGATGATACCTAATTATATCTTTGGGCTCAATGCTGAACACCTGAGGATATTGAATATCTGGACAGCGATCTTCACCCAGGCTTTTGGTGAGTATGATTGAATCTTGTTCTCTCTCTCTTTTTTTTTTTCTTTATTCCCATCTGGATGTGTGATCTCTGTCATCTTTGCTTTTTTTTTTTTTTTGCATTGTGTTCTTTTCTGTTTCAAAAGTTTTTTGTAATTTGTAAACTCATTTCATGAGAAGTTGGGCAGCACATACAGTAAGCTTAATAAAGTATTATTATTATTGCAGCTGGTTTTCAGGAAGTTGCATCCAATTAAACAAAACAAAGTGTTTCTTTATAGAATATTTATAGGATTTGCTGTCATAAAATGAGGCAAACAATTAATGGCATAAAAGATGGAGATAAATTATTGGATGCAGGTAATCATTATTAGCTATGATTAGCTTGTTTGGAATTTGAATGTCAGATAATACTGGACATTACCAAAATTGTTCAAGTGCTATTTTAAGGCTTTCTAAGCATCTGATTGGTTTTACAAACAGGATGCATAATTAACGGATTCTGTGAAACTTTATTTTCCATGGGATACAAATTTAATTTCACCTAAATTTGTTCAGTGACCAAGTAATAAATTGACAGCAAAAGCTGGATAGCAAAAATTTAAACACAGAGCAAGAAATCAGACCATGTGTAACCAATGTGTCAACAGCAAGATTCTTTATTTAAATTGCTTCCCTTTCTAATGGTAGAAGTCAATCAAAACTAAAACCATGAAAGGTTTTGCATTAGAACTTCCTGTTTATTTCAGCTTTTTTTGCTGAACAAAAAATGATAGTTAAGATACCTGAAACTGAATGGGAAAAGCATCTAAAACATTAATGGTGGGGTAAGTTAATTTCAAAGAAGCAAAACTAAATAAAATGAGCTGCAGAATAGCTTACTTTAATATTTGGACACAGATATTTTTTTTCTTTTTCCCTAGAACTCAGCAACAAGAATGGCCATCTACATATACATATCAGAATCTTTTTGTTCTTCTTTGTTCTTCCTTTTCTTTCCACAAATGTGAAATCACACAATGCATTTGGATCTGTAACTCTAGAAGTTATCACTCTGGAAGCATCCTGATTGTAACTTAGGACCGAGGGTTTCCTTTGCCTTCTCTGTCCGGTGTCATTTAAAGCAAAAGAAAAAAAAAAGCAAGCTCTCCAGCAATTTCCTGTCCAGCTGCAGCTCACTCTTTTTTAAAAAATATGGTCTGTGGATAAATTTAGCACTGTTTCCTTACTGTGGATTATTAATCTGCTTTCCTCATTTGAGCCTATGGAGCTCAGCTCCTACTGTTCTGCTGAAACCAACAGATGGCCTCCCTGCTACTTCCTCTCATTTTGCTGTGGTTTTGCTGTCAGGCCACTTCTGAAATTAATAATGTTCCCTGGCTGAGTGCCACAGGCCATTACTGGAAAAAGGAAGTAACACATCTGAATAGCAGGAAGCCAGGCAGGGTCACAGTATGAACTAAACCAGCTGAGCATAATTTGAGTCTCTTCCATTCGGCAAATAGGATGCTTCTCTTCCCTCCCTCTTTTTTTAAGGACAGTGCACTTCAATACATCCCTCACAGTTCACAACCAATCCATCTCAATGAAAGCTTTCTATTCAACAGATTTTCAAGAGACAGTGTAGGTTCCCAGAACCTATTGTGGAGTAGTAGAGAGAAAGTCAATATATTTCCAAGGAAGCTGGTGGGAAGTACAGTAGTTGTGACTGACTTTCAGAACATTTTTAATAAAAATAATGTCCTACATTATTTGCTCTTATTGTTTACAGGTGGA